GTCATAGCAGCCATGCATGGTATATAATTGAAAACGAAATTGTTTGACTGCTCGGTGTCAAGACGTTTTCGGTCATCTTCGCGATTAAACGATTAACGGTAGATTAAAAATTTCTAAAAGAAAATGAAGTGGTGTAAAATGCCCTTCAAAAGCTGTGGGCTCAACCAAAAATCACGACTACCTCGAGTATTTTTATTAAACGCAAAACAATAGACACTCCGTATATGGTCAACCCAAAAATTGGGTGTTTATATATACACGTATATTACGTTCCGATTCAAAACTAGTGGGCCTACTTATATTCGATGCAACGCGCAAGCGCAGAACAGTTCCGCTTATCATGCATTTCGAATGTTATTCCAAATGTCACAAATCTTCGTTCGTGCACATTTCAACCAAAAAGTTGGGTTTATACACAAATGTTGTGCATGACCAACCAAGAATTCGAGTTCAGAGTTCAGACACAAATATTGTGTACGAACTACTGACATATCTACAAGATAATCCGTGCAACTGGGACTTGCACTTCGAAGAAATGCTCAAAAAAGCAAGTGGAAGAATGTACATTATGAGAGTTTGCAAATACTATGGACTATCAATTAAACAATTAGATCTGCTGTTTGATAGCCTAATTATGTCGATATTCACTTTTGCTATTGAGCTGTGGGGTTGTGCATATGACGGTAAATATTTGAAAACAAATAGATAAGTTCATTAAACGTGCACATAAGAATGGTTATATATCAAAACGAACACACATTAAAGAAATACGTGATAAGAGAGATAAGAAACAGTGGAACAAAATAACATCAACTGAGGACAATGCATTGCTTGAACTGCTGCCGGAAAAAGTAGGTGACTTAGGCCTATACTAGGGCATGAGTATGAACTCCCCCTAGTGAGAACAGAAAGATTCAAAAGGTCGTTCATAAATCGTTGTCTGTATAATTTTGTTTAGACTGTAATGTATTTAAAACTTTTTAAAACTTTTTACGCTTCTTAACTTGCATTGTAAATATAACTATCTAGATCAATTACCTTTCGATTGTAAACTCAGACGGATGTATCTGAGTATTTTAATAATGACTATTATTATTATTATTATTATTATTATTATTATTATTATTATTATTATTATTAAATATCTGAATTGGAAACATGCAGTGTGTCAATTTGGGACAATACTGTGGAAATGGTTAGAAGAATGAACTAGTATTCTCAAATGTATCAAAGTGTTTGTGCACGCGGACAAGCATTAGTGGCATTACTCCATTAGCTTTCATCAGGGCTTTGCGGTAGGTCATGGGGTAACCTGATCAGCATTTCTGCATGGGAAATTACCTGCCAGGGAAATTACATCATGTTCCACATTTACCGTCTGTCCAAACACACATACTTCTTAGTAAAAACTTAACAAAAATATTACATAAGCTTAAAAAATTCATATCTCTATGTCAGTATAAATCTTTACCAAAGTACAGTATATACTGCAGTGCTATGTAAGTAGAGACTCTTCTAAGTAGCGCCGGTCCCCAACAGCGGATAAAACCGAAAGTAAAGCGAAGGGGGACGCTACTTTCCAGATATTTTACGGTATAATCTATATAGTGCACTTCCGGCTTACGATCTTCTGGGAAAATGTACAATGGGAAAATATTTCCTTTGAATTTTGTTGCTGCAAAGAACTCCCTCGCTTCGCTGCACATTTACCAAGTTTGCGCAAGAAATTGCAAGGATTTCCTACGAGTCGTAATAAGTCTTAGAACTTTCGTTGTTCAAGAATGTCCTTCTCACCTTCCGAGCAAAGACGTATTATTTTGGAGAAGAATTTACTCGACAAATACTTCCCTGGACGTGTCTCTCGGCACACCCCTGATGGCGGAACTGCTTACGTTGAAATTTTGATGGTGAGCAATTCCAACCGACGTTATACTTTACGAGTCTACATTTCCGACGATTTCCCGAATTCGTGCCCAGAAATGGTTTTAGTATCTCCAAAAAGGTTAAATCTTAAAGATGGTTCGGTAATGCCGACTGTAAGTCATGGGTTTCATACAATTGGTACGAAAGATGACTTTCTATTGCTGTGTCACTTTATTCCGAGCAAATGGACAAACGAGAATACACTGTATCAGGTTTTCATGAAAGGTCGTTTGTGGGTTGAAGCTTATGAGGGACATTTAGATACGGGAAAGGGTATGGATGAGTTCTTGAAAACACAAGCTAGAGGTGAAACTGCTGACAGTAGTGGAAACTGTATACTGATATAGGAACTACGTTAGTTTCGATATGTTTTACCTGTAAACAGAATGGTCACCGACATTGTTAGAATGTCTTCGTATATGTTGGAAGACCTAGTTAAATTTATTGTATAAATGTTAAAAATACTATATAATAGGTGTATGTACAATCTAGCTGTTTATATTTTTAAGTGTTATGGGGTCACTTCGTTACTGTTTCGTACAAATGTTGTTATAATATGATATACATCAAACATAGTATCTTTAAACTAATTATGAATTACAGTGAGAACTTTTTGTATCTTTACGACGTTGTAAGTCATTGATTTTCAGAATTTCGCGTGAAAAACTAAAACATTCTTGGAACTTTATATGTATATATTTCGTGATTGCTACACTTGATGAGTGAATGGAATTCGCGCGTCCTTTCGATTTGCAACGGACGTATCATCTTCCTGGAATTCGAAGACGCAGAAACAGGAAACAGCGTGATATTTATGGTAATCATGTAAACATAACTAGCACTGCATGATATTCAGCTTGAATCTGTAAAAGCGAAAGTACTCACTGATGGGTTTTTAAGTAAACATTACGATGAGTAGAGGATGGTCAACTTCAAGATTGTTGACACTTTCGGGAGCAAGAAAATTAAACTCAATTTCTAGGAAGTTGAACGAACTCAATTTCTTATAAATTCCCCATTGCCATTGTGTTGTGTCTGAAAGTTGTCAAACAGGCTCAGAAATCCTGTTTTTCCAAAAATATGCTTGGTTTAAATACACAGTGATATTGTATCTTGATCAATTGAATTGATTCTAAAATACTCTCGTCTGTACTTACATCTTCTGATATATTACATGCACCATCTCGAATTATATTTATTGATGGTCACTTAGTTGACTTGCACTTCCGGTTTGGTTTTCTGGGAACAACGTTCGTTTGAAAAGTAAACAGAACTCCTATCGTACTCTCATTGCAACAACAGAACATAGACATAGTGCCTGGTGGCATACACACTGATACCTTGTCTTCGCTTTGGCGGTGCTATTTAAAAAATTGGTTTTAAAACAGAGCTGTGCTATCACAATTTTAACACCATAGCTGAATCGCACTCGCACTTCCGGCTTGGTTTCTGTTTGAATTCTACAGAATTCATATAGTCGTGCTTGCTGAGATCTTGTCGTCCGATCTGGTCGTGCTTTTTGAAAGTGTGGTACTGAACATTTCGTATTGTGGCCGGTATTTACAGCTTTGCAAAGCACAAGCAGACGAAATATATATGCAAACGCAAAACAGCAATAAAGCAATAGTCGAATGCTTGCATTGCATTGTTGGTTCTAGTCAATACAGCGTATCATTCGAAAACCAAATCTGAAAAGTGTCGTATTGAATTGTACAAATGTCGAGCTGGTCTGGAGAACAGCGATGTCGCCTGACTGCTGAGAAAGGTATCCTCGAAGAGTACTTTAAAAGTAATGTAAAATGGATTGAGCCAACCGATCCAACGAAAGCAAGAGTGGAAGTGAAAAGTAACAGTAACAGTAACAAGGCTTACAAACTCCGTTTGTATTTGCGCGAAGATTTTCCCAACTCCTGTCCACATATGGCTATCGTCTACCCAAAAAATTTATTTGTAGAATTGGAAAAGACAAGAGTCCGATACCTTATTTTAAGTCCGAAACTTAACAAAAATATTAAGCTTAAAAAACTCGTATCCCTATGTCAGTCTAAATCTTTACCAAAGTATATACTGTACTATGTAAGTAGAGACCCTTGTAAGTAGCGCCTCCCCCCCCCCCCCCCCCCCCCAACAGCGGATAAAACTGAAAGGAAAGCGGGGATGCTACTTTCCAGATTTTACGGTATAATCTATATAGTGCACTTCCGGCTTACGATCTTCTGAGAAAATGTACAATCGACTGGCAACAAAATATTTCCTTTGAATTTTGTTGCTGGAAAGAACTCCCTCACTTCGCTGCACATTTACCAAGTTTACGCAAGAAATTGCAAGGATTTCCTACGAGTCGTATAATAAGTCTTAGAACTTTCGCTATTCAAGAATGTCCTTCTCGCCCTCCCAGCAAAGACGTATTATTTTGGAGAAGAATTTACTCGACAAATACTTCCCTGGACGCGTCTCTTGGCACACCCCTGATAGCGGAGCGGCTTACGTTGAAATTTTGATGGTGAGCAATTCCAACCGACGTTACACTTTACGAGTCTACATTTCCGACGATTTCCCGAATTCATGCCCACAAATGGTTTTAGTATCTCCAAAAAGTTTAAATCTTAAAGATGGTTCGGCAATGCCGACTATCAGTCATGAATTTCATACAATTGGTACAAAAGATGACTTTCTATTGCTGTGTCACTTTATTCCGAGCAAATGGACAAACGAGAATACACTGTATCAGGTTTTCATGAAAGGTCGTTTGTGGATTGAAGCTTATGAGGGACATTTGGATACAGGAAAGGGTATGGATGAGTTCTTGAAAGCACAAAGTCAGAGGAGCTGTGTACTGCAATAGGGTTCTCATGAGAATCAATAATATTACAAATATCATCCTTTAATTGTTATAGTACTTATTCAACTATACTACTATGCTTTGCTTTTGGACTGCAAATAATACGGTTAGCATATAAGCTGTACACAAACTCGTCTAGAAAAAGGTAACAACGGTATTAGATTACGAAGAACATCTTGACATGTTGTATTAAGTGGTATTTTGACAGTGGTATATTTTGATATATACTGTAATATTAATTATTTGACTACAAACAAAGATTTGGCTTCAACATTGACTTGATATGTTGTCACCGAGAATGTTAGAATGTCTTTGTATATGTCGTAAGACGTAATTAAATTTGTTGGTACAAATGTAAAAAATACTATATATAATAGTTGTACGTGTAACATAATATTTTGTAACTGGTATGGGATGTTGGTTTGTGTATTCATTTATAACTTATATACTCATTTATAGCGGTTTTCATTAGCATACAAATTAAAATTGTTGCTAGTTCAAGAAAAGATTTGTCGATTCTTCACTTTTTTCCCTAGTATACAAGTCAAATATGATATGCATCAAACATAGTATCTATAAACTAATTATGAATTACAGTAAGAACTTTTTGTATCTTTACGACGTTGTAAGTCATTGATTTTCAGAATTTCGCGTGAAAAACTAAAACATTCTTGGAACTTTATATGTATATATTTCGTGATTGCTACACTTGCTGAGTGAATGGAATTCGCGCGTTCTTTCGATTTGCAACGGACGTATCATCTTCCTGGAATGCGAAGACGCAGAAACAGGAAACAGCGTGATATTTATGGTAATCATGTAAACATATAAACTAGCACTGCATGATATTCAGCTTGAATCTGTAAAAGCGAAAGTACTTATTGATGGGTTTTAGTAAACATTACGATGAATAGAGGATGGTCAACTTCAACGTTGTTGACACTTTTGGGAGCAAGAAAATTAAACTCAATTTCTTATAAATTCCCCATTGCCATCGTGTTGTGTCTGTCTGAAAGTGGTCAAACAGGCTCAGAAATCCTGTTTTTCCAAAAATATGCTTGGTTTATATACACAGTGATATTGTCTCTTGATCAATTGAATTGATTCTAAAATACTCTCGTCTGTACTTACATCTTCTGGTATATTACACCATCTCGGATTATATTTATTGATGCTCACTTAGTTGACTTGCACTTCCGGTTTGGTTTTCTGGGAACGTTCGTTTGAAAAGTAAACAGAAGTTACAGAACTCCTATCGTACTCTCATTGCAACAACAGAACATAGACATAGTGCCTGGTGGCATACACACTGATATCTTGTATTTGCTTTGGCAGTGCTATTTAAAAATTTGGTTTTAAAACAGAGCTGTACTATCACAATTTTAACACCATAGCTGAACCAGACTCGCACTTCCGGCTTGGTTTCTGTTTGGATTCTACAGAATTCATTTAGTCGTGCTTGCTGAGATCTTGTTGTCCGATTTGGTCGTGCTTTTTGAAAGTGTGGTACTGAACATTTCGTATTGTGGCCAGTATTTACAGCCTTGCAAAGCACAAGCAGACGAAATATATATGCAAACGCAAAACAGCAATAAAGCAATAGTCGAATGCTTGCATTGCATTGTTGTTTCTAGTCAATACAGCGTATCATTGGAAAACCAAATCTGAGAAGTGTCATATTGAATCGTACAAATGTCGAGCTGGTCTGCAGAACAGCGATATCGCCTGGCTACTGAGAAAGGTATCCTCGAAGAGTACTTTAAAAGTAACGTAAAATGGATTGAGCCAACCGATCCAACGAAAGCAAGAGTCGAAGTGGAAATGAAAAGTAACAGTAACAAGGCTTACAAACTCCGTTTGTATTTGCGCGAAGATTTTCCCAACTCCTGTCCACACATGGCTATCGTCGACCCAAAAAATTTACGTACAAAAGACAAGAGACCGATACCTTTGCTAGACAAGAGCTTTCACACGCTAGGCCTTACTGTGGATGGCTTTACAAAGCTATGTCATTTCTCGCCTGACCTGTGGACGGCAGATATTACACTTTATAACGTTTTGATGAAAGGTCGGTTGTGGATTGAAGCCTACGAAGGCCATCTTGAGACAGGCAACTTGATGGATATGTATCTAGGAGAACAACAAGGGACAGTTGAGGGGCAAAACGAGGAGCAAAATCCTGTAATAGATGAATCAGTTCTCGAGCCTGAACCGAAGCGTGAGCAGGACACAAAGGGTTTCTGTTGCATATCTTAGATTGAATTATGCATTAATTTTACGTTGAGTAATGAACGAAATAGTGTTTCCAAATTGTATTGCTGTGATGCATGTTTATATATAATTATAACTATCATAAAATTCTTTACAGACTTTGATATATATAACTGTAGTCTAGGGTTACCGCTGATCACTCTGAATTAATTGCCGCAACAACGAATACTTTATAATTGTACAACATCGCAGATATTGTCATTGATATCACTTTTTACATAATTGTAACTTCTTGATATCATTTATCACCAAAAATTGTATCTATACTACAGTAGGGCAGTGTAGTCTATAAATTGTATTAATAATTTTAATTCAATGAAAGTACTGTAAATACTTATGAGATTGCATGTATATGAGATTGTTCAGTAATAAATCGCGTATTAGAAATTTAACTGAGTGATTTTCTATGATTCGATCTTTCAATACTTCAGTTGCTTTCATGATCTTCGAATTGGTAAACACACCCACAAACATTTCAATATTTTTTCGACATTATTGAGTATTTAATTAGCACATGTTATTGCAGGCAAAGTTATGTCTTAATATGACTGTCTAAAATTTACAATTGAAATTCAAAATTTACTGTTGCCACACACCATCATATAAGAACTGTGAAATATCATATTAGGGAACTTAAGCATGCAGGCACAGTATTACAACTTTGCCGAGGAGAGACTGGATTAAGAACTGTGTTTGTGTCAGTTTGCGATAGTCTTCAACACATCTAACAAAATGTAAGATTTTTAAACTGTTTTGCTTCCTTATACACGAGCGCTAAGATGCAAAATGCTGCCAAACTGATTAGTTACAGCAATTTTTGGGTGACGTCCGTGTTGACAGAGTTGTTAACGAGTCCTATGTTGCAAGTCAAGTCACAAGTCATTCCGAGTGGCAAGTCAATTCAAGTCAGGTCACAAGTCATTTTATCGCCACATGTGGCCATGTTTTCCCACGGCAAAACGGCAAAATATGTAAATATGGTGTCGTTATTTTATGGCAGAAATTTTACCACGAAATCGCGAAAAAAACCGCTTTGTCAGAAAATACGCTGGCACAAATTCTGTCGATGCCATTGATATGTACAAAGGTCGTTTCCCAAATTGTACAACACGACGATCGATCGATCAACACAAAGATTTTGGAAAACTTGATTTTCACTAGATATTTACGTTTGACTTGCGTTGGTAACAAGTCATTTCTTGCACGTCCAAGTCAAGTCACAAGTCATTTTGTCCAAGTCAAGTCACAAGTCATCAGTCTCTTTAACAAGTCAAGTCACAAAAATTGCGACTCGAGTCCAAGTCACACGACTCGAGTCCAAGTCACACGACTCGAGTCTACAACTCTGCGTGTTGACAAAAACGTCGTTTGCTTAAGCTCACTAATGAAGAATGACGTTAATCTATCTACATGCAACATAAATGTTTAAATATACTATATTTCCATACAACTACAAGCAAATGACAACAATCAATATATGACATATATGATACTCTTATCATACAATACTAGGACGTACTGTTACTATATCTAATGCCACTTATAATAATCAGTCATGCATACACTATTTCTAATCGTTCCTCGTGAAATGTTGCAATTAGTTGATTTTCTTACATTTTTCACACTGGCACAGTTCCTTTATCTTAGCAATCACATGTTGAGATGTACAGAATTCCTGTGAACATGCTTGCACTGGACTCAAAGGCACCTCTGTGAGTTCTGAGAAGAATATTTCCACCAACGTTTTGTTATTTGATTGATCCTCTTTCAACTCGATCTGCCATTGTTTACCATTATGTTTAAAATGAAGTACCAATGAAGACTTTTCAGGATGTTCTTCAACTGGTATTTTTTTTAATTCAAATTCTTTTTTGATTTTGTGTTTTAAAGATTTAATAAGACTTGAGCTTTGATCAATTTTATCTTGATGTCCGTTCATTCGGTTCCCATGATAAGTTGCAGTTGCATTTTCGATAGAATTCTCATTTTTGCTTGCCCCTCCAGGTCCACGGTTCATATCATGTAGTTCTTTTCCAATCTGGCTTTCGTTACCCACTTTGGGAAGTTCTTGACTAACTTGATGAACCTCTGAAATTAAATCATTTTCACTTTCGCTTTTGTATCCAATAGTCATGACAGCTTTCATTCCAGGGTTCCTTTTATAAAGTTCGTTTCTAAACGGGCTTTCACTTGGCAGTATTTTCACTTGCAAGCGTCGTCCTTGTCTAAGTGGGTCTTCACTCTTAGAATGCGATGCAAACGCTTGCAACGAGCCAGTCCTATCCGTTTCGCTCACATCAACAATAATATGTTGTCGTCTGGTCGATAATTTAGTTTGATTTTTTACCATATCGTATAAATCTGCTGAATATGTCTTTGCCACATACCCAACGCAATCTAGTCGATGGGTTTGTGCGTATTTCTGTTCCGTCTGATTCGAGACAACCAAATGAATAACAACATTTGAACTGTGCGTCCATAGACCGTATAAATAACAACATAAACCGTTCTCTATCGGTTGTTTTTGATAACTCTTCAACTGTTTCAATTCATCGTTGAAGATATGCACACACTGGGTTTGTGGTACGTTGATCGATGACATTTCTTGCAAGAGTTGTGTTTAACACTACATAAGCGAGGAACTGCGAATTCTCAGACCAAATCTGAGATGTTTATTATGGCGCTCATAAATGACGTAAGAGCATTGTCCTAAAATAGATACGTTACAAGGACATTGAGTCAATATCCATACTTAAATTAATGACAAAACATTCCAAATCCTCACTCTATTTCTAATCATAACCCTAATCCTATAGCAAAGTTTCCATAACTGTAATGTTTGCCTTTGGCATCGACAAATGTCTATACGTAATCTGCTGGATTTTGAACATTAAAACTGTACAGTACTGTATATGCATATATTACTCATTTATATATGCTCCTATCAGCGGACCACTCTAGTGTTCAGAAAACCTGCTTGAATCCTATAATATGTCCAATTGCCTCGAGAAATGTTTAGTTTGAAATATAAGTCAAATATTGACTGACGAACGTTATATGTGTACAAATTGGAAACAATTTCTTACCAAATTTTGGAATTTTGCTTTTACCTGATTTCCGGGAAATCGTGCTTGTTTCACTTTTAATTCGTGGAAACAAAATTTTAAGAAATGTCATCTTGTGTAAAATTTTAGCTTTGCCGGAAGGTTTAAGCAATCAAACAAACGCATCAAGCGTGACTTGATTGCTTTGTCTGCAGATTAATTTAGTCCTTTTACCGTATGTGTTATCGCTGTAGTTCGCAGAAAATACACCCAGGTTAAAAACACGTCAGCTAATACATTCAACTTAGAAATGAAAATTGAGCAACGATTGCAACATGAAACTGCATCTTTCGATTTTGATTATATTGACCAACATATAAGTAATATGTGAAATAAAATATTTTCTCACTGTGATAACTTTAATTGGTACATGGACCACTGTCTGCCGTGTACGAAAATACTAATGTACAATCATGGAAATGGAATACAATCATGATTGTAGTGAAACTTACATCCTCATGACTTATATAAGCATTCGGTGATACCCATGATCATTTGCGGGTAAAAGTCGGTGTATGACAAATCATTGCATTATGGTATAGTTGGACGATGTAGTACAGTGTGCCAATATAGTCATGGGACAAATGCTTGCTTACCAAGCTGCTAACCAAGCTGCTGCCATGTGTAACAATGTATTAAAGTATGACTGGCCAAGGTACAGATATTCAAAAACCCTTGGCGCAGGAGCTTTTGGCGAAGTCTACCTAGTCCACGATACGAAGACAATTGGACGGGTGTATGCTCTGAAGAAAATAAAATGCGGCTCAAATGATGATCTAAACAATGTGACACAGGAACTGAAATCTGTGAGCAAATTAAACGATCCGAATATCATGGCACTTTACGATACCCGCTGCAAACAGAAGGAAGATTTCTCGGCTGAGGTTTACATGATATTTGAGTACTGTCCAGGCGGTACTCTGAGTGATCGACTACAAAAGCCCAGCACAAAAGCAATGGATATTAAATGGATGAGGCAACTGGCAAAGGCTGTAGCTTATATACATGCCTTAGCCCTAGTACATCGTGATTTGAAGCCAGATAACGTCCTCCTGAGCTCAAAGGACAACATAAAAATCGGAGATTTTGGACTAGCACGCGACTTTGTTGCGGCAAAGCGGGAGAATGAAACGTGGGCGAATTATTACATGTCTGCTGCATGTGGAACATTATTCTACATGGCTCCAGAAGTGTTCGAGGGTCACTATACCGAAAAAGGTGATGTGTTTGCGTTAGGCGTGCTACTTTACGCTATAGAAGAACGAGAATGTTTCGAAATTAACGGAATGAAATGTTATGGAATTTTCATTCTACTTCCCGACCAAGATCGGGCACCATTGGGCCTACAAATGCATATAGATAAAACTGGACTGAAAGTGCCTTTCACAAAATGCAGCCCAAAATTGGCTCAAATTATTGGCTCTGCTTTGCTGTTTGATCAAAATAGTCGCGCTGATGCCGCTACAATCCATGGGAAGTTGAACGAATATGTGGAAAGCTCATGAACGATCCATTTTAATTTTGTTTCACATGATTCGCAGTTTCAGTTTCGATTCCTCGAAAACCACTTCACGGGAAATCCCCTCTGATTGTTTAATAATTAATAGGGGCTTAAATAATGACAATAAATGCTGTATATCTGTATCTTAATATCAATCTATCTAATTTTTGGTAAAATCTTCAGCTATTCAGCAGTATGTAATTTTTAGTAAAATGGTCAGCTGTATTCAGCAATTTAAACGATATAATTCCGTAAACTATAAATTGTCTAAATGGATGACCTTCTGGTATGCATGCATATATTAGCGTATTGTATATTACCTGATAAACAAGATTATGTAAATCTTTTACCAGGAAATGATTATGAAAGTAACATGACTGAGTTGAACATTCTTTGGAAAACTTGCGCTTGCTTTGTCCCTTCAGGCAGCAATTGTTTGCCATAGTAATGTCTATATAGACTATAGTACAATTTCTGTGAATTTTGTCCCGGGAGAACTATTGAAGGCTTTTTCGCTCAATTTTAGTGCAAATGTATTTCATTATAATTGCCTGTCAGACTTTCATGCTTTTGACAGTTGTCCAAATTGTTTAACTTTGGTACAAGGTAATCCACTATACATGCTTTTTGAAATTGCTGAGTGGGGGTGGAGGGCGGGGTCCCCCTTCCCCTTGTTTAAGCCAATGATACGAACTCTGCGTTCACTTTCCTCTTTATTTATGTGTTCATACCACTAGCTTCGCTTCGACTTCAATGGCATAATATTCCCCGTTGCACGATTTCGATTTGACGTTTTTTTTGCTATGTGACGCCATCCTGGATTGCACACGGCACTTTGTACCTATGTTTTACCTATGAAAAACTTCCGTGTGCACTCCAGGATGGCGTCATATGATTGGCGTATTTTCACCCAGATGATCTTGATACGCGGAAAAGTACTGGCACTAGTTGTCAAATAGAAATCCATTTTATGATTAAAACAACTGAATATCTCCTGTAATATACTTTATTTCGATTCCATATTTTTGTCAGAGCTATAGTTCTCATAACCAAACATAATTACAAAATTTCAACTAGTTTCATAAAGAATAACGAAAGATATAATTGACTGAATACATCAAAATGGATTTCTATTCGGACAACCCTTTCTGAGCGCTGATTGGCTAAAATACGAACACGAGATCACCTGGACGTCAGCACGTAAAAATTTCGGACGAAATATCGTCTGAGTGACACTTCTGGTATATATATAGTATCTATTCTGTGATGTGGATATGTTGTGATTTTGGCACGCATCAACAAAACTGTTACCGGAAGTAAAGAGATAGTGTTAATTATCGTGGACCAATCAGAATACTGCGTTCGCTGGCGAACGCATTATTTTTTTCTGTTGGACACGGCTGCAGGCGTTTACGCCTGCTCTGCAGGCTACCTTATATAATAGTGGGTTTATTAATACACGTTCAATAGCAAAAAGCTAAATTACAACGTGTTTACATCGTCAGATATTAATTATAATTAATTAGAATTATTACTTATTTAAAACTATTTACATCAATGGACCTATATGTATATTAAAATCGTTTATATATATATATATATATATATATAGAATTGTATAAATATGTATATAAATCTTACTTATCTAATTTAAAATTATATTCATTAATAGCATGAACTACAGGGCTGTTTCTAAAACGTTCAGTGTTGCAAAAAAAGTTAAATCTTTTCGCTATTTGTCCTAGTCTCTCTTTCCCTAATGTCAATTTCTTTGGCAATAGTCCGTGAAGTCTGTGTGATGGTTGTAACATGTCCTCAATTAAGGAGGCACATAAATTGTTTCTGCGTTCTTCTAAGGTCAGCAGATTGCTCTGAGATAATAGAAGTCCATAATCACAAAGGCCAGGATAAATTATTCGGAGGGCTCGTTTTTGGATTCTTTCTATGTTTTTCTTATGCATTTGTGTCAGACCACCACTCCAGATTTGTGCACCATACTCTAGAACAGAACGAATTACTGTACAATAGAAAGCTAATAGGTCATTTTTTGGTGCACCATAACTCTTTAAAATCTTCAAGAGGTAAAGTCGCTTAGCGCCTTTTTTTACAATGTACTCAGTGTTGGTTTTCCATCTCATGTCATCGTCTATCCATATTCCTAACAATTTATACGACTTTACACGGGATATTTTATCGTCACCAATATTAATCAGTGGTATTTCTGTTTTCTTCTTCCGAAAATCAATTAGCATTTCTTTACATTTTTTTCCATTCACTGTTCCATACTCTCATCCTTTGCAAATTGCACTACGTTATTTACACTTCGTTGGGTGTTACCAATTGGGCTACCAGATGAATGTTGAGTTATGGTAATGACTTCGGACAATGTACTATCATCAACGAACATAGCTATATCTTGATCATCAGATGCTTCACATATCTGTTCCTGCTGATTAGGTATAGCGACTTGTGGGAGATGGTTAATTTTCAGGATAAATGCTACTGGACCCATGCAGCTTGCTATTCGAGAATACCCATGATTATTTGCGGGTAAAAGTGTATGACAAATCATTGCAAAATATGGTAGCCATGGGACAAATGCTTACTTACCAAACTGCTAACCAAGCTGTTGCCATGTGTAACAATGCACTAAAATATGACTGGCCAAGATACAGATATTCAAAAACCGTTGGTGCAGGAGATTTTGGCGAAGTCTATCTAGTCCACGATACGAAGACAACTGGACGGGCGTATGCTCTGAAGAAAATAAAATGCGGTTCAAATGATGATCTAAACAATGTGACACAGGAACTGAAATGTGTGAGCAAATTAGACCATCCGAATATCATGGCACTTTACGATACCCGCTGCAAACAGAAGGAAGATTTCTCGGCTGAGGTTTACATGATTTTTGAGTACTGTCCAGGCGGTACTCTGAGTGATCGACTACAAAAGCCCAGCACAAAAGCACTCGATATTAAATGGATGAGGCAACTGGCAAAGGCTGTAGCTTATATACATGCCTTAGCCCTAGTACATCGTGATTTGAAGCCAGATAACATTCTCCTGAGCGCAAAGGACAATATAAAAATCGGAGATTTTGGGCTAGCACGTGACTTTGTTGCGGCAAAACGAGGGAATGAAACATGGGCGAATTATTACATGTCTGCAGCATGTGGACCATTATTCTACATGGCTCCAGAAGTGTTCGAGGGTCACTATACCGAAAAAGCTGATGTGTTTGCGTTAGGCGTGCTACTTTACGCTATAGAAGAACGACAATGTTTCGAAATCAACGGAATGAAATGTTATGGAATTTTCATTCTACTTCCCGACGAAGAACGGGCACCATTGGGCCTACAGATGTATATAGATAAAACTGGACTGAAAGTGCCTTTCACAAAATGCAGCCCAAAATTGGCTCAAATTATTGGCTCTGCTTTGCTGTTTGATCAAAATAGTCGCGCTGATGCCGCTACAATCCATGGGAAATTGTACGAATATGTGGAAAGCTCATGATCGATCCATTTTAATTTTGTTTCACATGATTCGCAGTTTCTGTTTCGATTCCTCGAAAACCACTTCACGGGAAATTCCATATGATTGTTTAATAATTAATAGGGGCTTAACCTCTGACTCCAAATAATTACGAAATTAAATAATGACAAATGCTGTAAATATCTGTATCTTAATATCAATCGTATCTATTTTTTGGTAAAATCTTCAGCTATTCAGCAGTATGTAATTTTTAGTAAAATGGTCGGCTTATTCAGCAATATGAACGATATAATTGCATAAACTATAAATTGTCTAAATGGATGACCTTGTGGTATGCATGCATATATTATAGCGTGTTGTATTACTTGATCAACAAGATTATGTAAATCTTTTACCAGGAAAATGATTATGAAAGTAAAATGACTGAGTTGAATATTCCTTGGAAAACTTGCGCTTCCTTTAGCTCTTCAGGCAGCAATTGTTTGCTATAGTAATTGTCTATAAACTATACTAAATAAACAAGTTTATGCGAATCTTTTCCCAGGAGAACGATTGAAGGCATTTTCGCTCAATTTTAGTGCAAATGTTTTTCAATATAATTGCCTGTCAGACTTTCATGCTTTTGACAGTTGTCCAAATTGTTTAACTTTGGTACAGGGTAATCCACTACAGGCTTTTTGAAATTGCTGAGTGGGGGGTGGAGGGCGATGCCCCTTTTCCTTGTTTCAGCCAGTGATACGAATTCTGCTTTCACTTTCCTTTTTATTTGTTTATTCATACCACCAGCTTCCCTCTTCGATTTCAACAACATAATATCCCCGTTTCAGTCTTTCAGCTTCTTGGAATTCAGCAAGCAATTCTTTTTCAAAAGGATTTACCAATTCATCGCAACTCTACTATTATATTATCATGGTCTGAGACTTTATTGATTTGACGTGAAATCTGATGGAGACAGTTTCGCAGGCTACATGATGTAAAGTGGAAGGCATGTTCTGTGGAACAGTCCGTCGGTCAATCTAAAAATTTCAGTTCATTTGTTCTCTGTGATTAAGCATTCCTGACTTAAGTAAACAAGAGTATATTTATTACTTTATCTCTGACCTTTTCTACAAATATACATAAATAGTGAAGAGTTAAGGGGAGTGCCTTAATTGGGTGCCGTCAACCAGATCTGAATTCCATGTATTTGCTTGTCCTATGTTAATTTTGGATTGCAGACTTTTCTGCAAAACAAAACACTCATCTATCTCTGGTTGAAACACATATATATTTCCAAAGATCTACAAAGTCAACGATGTCGTCTCACCATCTAAGTCAAGTCACATACACTCGTGAAGCCAAGCTTGGCGAAGGAGCGTTTGGAACGGTGTACAAGGTCAAGGCATACGCGGGTGAAAATCGTACGACATATGCTGTCAAAGATATCAAATGCACCAAAAACGAAGATTTGGATAGCGCCATAGACGAGATTCGTGCTCTGGGAAACTTAGTTCATACAAACATCATCAAACTGTACAATGTCAAAGTTTCTCAGACCGATCCATTTCAAGCAACTTTGAGTCTTCTTTTAGAATACTGTGGCAAAGGGAATCTAAATGATCGACTGAATAGACCTAGCTCTCGAAGACAGAATTTCAGTTGGATGAGGCAAATTATTAATGCTGTCGAGTTCCTACATAAACATGATACCATACACCGTGATTTGAAGCCTCAGAATGTACTCCTAACTTCCAATCAGGTTATAAAACTTGCAGATTTTGGTCTTGCAACACGTTTTGGGCAGAAGAATGATAATCAGAGCTGGTATAGTTATTATATCGAGCTGGGCATAGGTCAAGCTTGTTATGTTGCACCAGAAATACTCTCACAACGTTACACATACAAAGTTGATATCTTCGCGGTTGGTGTTATGTTTTATGCGATTCTCGAACGAACTTTTCAAGTTGTTAGCGGCGGAAATGTTTATGGAGTTTTTGTCGGGAACAGACGACAGCCACTTGGGCTCGAAATGTTTAACAAGAAAAGTGACGTTGATTTGCAGTTTACTAGGACAACACCACAAGCTGTTGTACAGCTATTAAAACGGACACTAAAATTTGATTATAAGCAACGGCCAACTGCTGAAGAGATTCGAGCAACATTGGAGCGAAATTTGCCCTCTAATTGTGTGATATCTTAATGACATGAACTTGTAAAGGACACCAAGTTGACAGCTTGATATCACCTTTTGCTGAAGGCTTCGGGTTATCCTTATAAAAAGTTAAGATTACCGTAACTGTATTCAGTATATGGGTATTATTACATAGCCTGCTCGCAGCCTGAAATTTAGAAGGGGAAAATTTTCCATTTCAGGCTGCGAGCAGAGGCTAATTAAGACATCGACTGCGCCGGGTAAGATGAAACTGTAAGATGAAACAATTTGACCTGTAATATGGTACTTTATTGAGCACCCCCCCCCCCCCACAATGTACTGTATAGCAACATTAAACGGTTAACATAATAAACAGCACATTGCACTTTAAAGTTAAGAATAACTAAACTATTCAGAAACCTTGTGTGTAAATTTCACCTTTTTTACCTTACTTAAAAATATTACATTGCCAGACCAACTTCAGAAATCACAATAACAAAGCTGTTTCTACCATCATGATAGAATTTGCTGATCTCTGGTCTTTTCATGTTTCTGTGTACTTTCGATGTCCTCAAAGTACAGTAGATTCGTGTATACACCATAGTGTGCCTGTTTCTCGTTTCATTTTTGTCAAAATTTGGACTAGTTCAGTTACCGAATACGAAGCGAAAATTTGATATAAGTTTTTTTCTGATTATTTGATGCAGTAGTCTTACATGTGGTGTTCAGGAGGGAAATGAGAGAGATCTAGTCTAATTGCATTGTGCTCGGCTATGTAAATATGCATGTCAATTATTCTAAAGTTGACCCTAAATCTGATATCTTTCTCGTAGCGCTTCCTGGAACTCAGCAATAAGTTGTAATGTCACCATACGCAGTATACTTTTACTTCTACTTCTACTGATTCACTAATAAAGAGAAGCTTTCGATACAGTAGACTCGTGTGCACCCTAGCATGCCTATTTCTCGTTTCATTTTTCTGATTATATGCAGTAGTCTTGCATGTGGTCTTCAGGAGGGAAAAGAGAGATATAGTTGAATTGCATTGTCGTGCCCCTATATATGCAGTGGAACCCCGTTAATACGACCACCGTTCGACCAAAAGATTTTGGTTGTATTAGCGAGGTGGTCGTATTAACGGGGTCTTCAGATGAAAAAAATACTATATATATAGGTGTTGTTCGGAGAAATGAAAAGTGGCAGTCGTATTATCGGGGTGGTCGTATGGCCCGGTTCCACTGAATGTCAAGAATTCTGAGGTTGACCCTAAATCTGATACCTTCTCTAGCGCTTCCCGGAACTCAGCAATAAGTTGTATTAATATCTGCATACACACTATACTTTTACTTCTACTGATTCACTGCTCATAAAGAAAAGCTTATACTTGGATAGAATGGAAAGTATGCACTCCTACTGTGCTATTAAAGGAGACAAAAAGGAATACATCATGCTAAACCGCAATAAATAACAAGGGTCTGAAAACGAAAGTAGACGGACAATCGTATTGCGAATCAAAACTGCGAAATTTCGATGGATACTGTCGAATCAGCGGTTGAATACAGAAAATCAAGTATACCGTTCACTTTAGCTGAACGACTCGGGGAGGGCGCTTTTGGTGAAGTCTTCAAAGCGACAGAAAATGAGGGTAAAGCCCGAACATTTGCGGTCAAGTTTATAAAATGCACAGGAAATGACGACCTACAAAATGCGATGGACGAGATCACGGCGTTGGTGATATTAAACCATAAAAACGTTGTTAAAATGTTTGATTTTGGTGTACGGCAGCATTGGCAGTTGGAAGTCGAATTCTCGCTTCTGTTAGAATATTGCTCCGATGGTCGCCTCAACGAGAAGCTTGCTGAGCAGAATTCAAGAAGCCGGAAGCTTGGTTGGATACGCAGTATAACATCCGCCGTCGTTTATTTGCACAGTGAGGGCATAGTGCATCAGGATTTGAAGCCCGATAATATCTTGTTGACTGGGAATGGTGTTATAAAAGTGGCTGATTTTGGTCTCGCTCGACGCTTCGCACGACGAAGAGAAGGTATACAATGTGGTAGTTCAATAAATATTCGCCTTCCCACACTCGTTTCTTACTGCTGAGTTAAGCTTGCTACTGTAAATACAATTGTGTTTGGTTCACTCTTGTACTTTCAGAATTTTAATCCGGTTTTGTTCTGTGGCCGAAAACCGACCCTTAGTCATTCATCTAGAATGCCTTCGATTTGAGCTGCATCCTTCACAATTCAGCTCTGTTGCAAGGAAAGATGATTGACACCCCCTCCCTATACCTTCCCCCTCCTATCCCTACTCCCCCTCTAACATTAAGAACACCCAGGTTAATTCTACCCATATATACATGATTGTATATCCACCTCAACCATTCTTATAATTTATTTCGGTGTATATACTTGGGCATTTATTTATGCATACTGTACACACTTCTGTATGATATTTTAACTAGTAGGGACAATAATAATATACATATTATGCTAGTAGGGACAATAATAATAGCCAAATAAATTCATTACAATTCAATTGGTCAAAGCTAGCATTTACTATCTCAGCCGAGCTGGCGGACCCTAATAGACTTAGCAATATATAATAATATAGCAAAATATATATTGGTTTCAATCCAAAGGTCAGAGCTGGCATTTATACTACCTCAGCCAGCTGGCTGACCCTAATAGACTTAAGAGTATATAATAATATAGCAAAATATCTATTAAATTCGTTTCAATTCAAAGGTCAGACCTGGCAATTATACTACCTCAGCCAAGGTGTTGGGGCATTGTGCTACGTTGCTCCAGAAATGCTCGAAGACCACCACACCTATATGGTCGATGTATTCTCAATGGGGATTCTATTTCATGCTATTCTCGAAGGCCAGTTTAAAGTCTACGATGGGGAAAGGTGTTATGGAGTATTTATTCAGACCAGTAATCAACAGAGAGAACCAATTGGTATTCAGATGCATGAGAAAGGAACGGATTTGAAGGTGCCATTCCAACGATGGAGAAGAAGACTAATTGAACGAATGTTGAAATACAATCCGAAACAAAGACCAACTGCCCGAGAAGTTGAGGACGTTTTAAGATCAACATTCCGACGGTGGTTTCAACTCGTATAATAAAGTAAATTCCCAATGCATGGTTGATGAGGTTCAGACTCGATCAAAACCATCCATACCTAGTATATTTTAAAACTAAAGAAGATAAATTTCTCGCTAAGTTTATCTTTAACAAAGATGAAGAATATTAATTATTAGGTACATAGAACAATTTCATCAAACGTTTACAATTGTATCTATAGCATATATACAGTATACATGAAACATCTTGTCTTCTGTGTGTCAATCTTGTCTTCTATGTGTCAGTCTTGATTCGCGTCATCCGATGTTCTAAGCAAAGACTCGTATTGTCAATGAGTGCACTGGTGTACTCAGTACTGTGATTGTGTTAGTCTCAGTGACCTGGGAATATGACGTATAGCTATATATTAAGGGCTATTTATACCCATAAACCAACATATTCCGGCATGTATTTTTTTATGAATACTTATAACCATTGCAATAACGTGAATACATGTTTTAATAAGCAAATAGCCTAAGAATAGCAAAGAACATTAATTAATTAATACAGAGAATCTATTGCGTTGTATGCAGTCTGTGTGATTATATGTTGGGCAATTCGAATATTTTCATTAATACACCGGAATGTCAACTGTAACTATAGTATATGACAATTATAAATATAACCATTTCCATTATATTTATACATAAATATATAATTGTACATGAAGTTCGTGCTACTATATTTCAATATTGTACGATTTAGATATTGTAATTACATTGGACATTCAACTATTGTAATAAATTGAATACATGAATGAATGATAGCATTGCATTTTAGCTACTCCCTGCTAGTATCTGGGACATGTCCATTTGCTTCATCTTTGCAACAACAATTACAACAGCGAAAACAACAGCGACAACAACAGCGACAACAACAGCGACAACAACAGCGACAACAACAGCGACAACAACGACGCAAAAAGGCCATTGCATTTGTGAACATTTGACGCAATCTTTTAACCAATTTCTCACGCATGCTCAATTCCTCCTCTTCAGAGCTTTCTTTGGGAAGTAAAGTGTCTTTATCGTTGTAACTTTCTTCGCAGAAGCTCTCGTCGTTCGTGGCTGACTCGTCCCTTCTGTTACGCAGCTCACTGCTAGCTTCATTTGGCACGACTGAGTTTTCGATCTTCACTGACTGTTCGTCTTTCGTAAACGTTGTCCAGTCTTGTCCAGCTTCTGCCTTTGAGGTTAGGTACGCGTTCTCCACTGTTAAGCGAACAGGGTTTGCGCATGGTAGACATTTAATATTGCCTTTTGTAATTTTTTGTTCACTTAAATTGAAAAGGAAGCAGCCAATGTTGACCTTTGCTGGTGTACCTGGATGTATAGAACAAAATTGTTAAATATCGTAGATTGATGACAATGTATTTTAAATGTGTGGTTATCGTAAGGTTTCAAAATTTTCATTTCAAATCACTAATAATTCATGAGTAAATTAGCCAACCATATTGCTTTATTTTCCTCATATGATAATACTGCATGATACCTATATTGATCCAGTCCTAGGACTGGATCAATATAATATAGGTATCCAGTATTATGTATTCAGTCATTGGACTGCATCAAATTATCACCTTACTTTAAGAAGTGATTTATTCGTATGAGATGTCATTTCAAATCCTCCAAGTCGGACTGGACTAGATTTCAAGTCCTCGCATTTCGATTCAGTCCTCGGCTTCGTCTCGGACTTGATGAAATTGCGGGGATGTGAAGACTCTAAGAGTCCAGTCCTCATAGTCGGATTTGAAATATTACATAGAAGATAGGACTAGGTTATATGACCTAACTTTATTTCAGAACCATCTTTATGGCCGGAATGTAATACCTTGTAGTCTATATATATTCGTAGTAAAACCGTACACTGTCCACATAAAGACGCCTGCGTGGCATCGACGTCGAGTGACAACTGGGGGAAATTTCAAAACCACATTTTAGTGCGTGGGATGTTTCCACGATTAATTGAAACTTGGCTTGTTCCTGCTATGGCACAGTGTTTCAACGATTTCAGAGCAATCCTCAGAGAAAATGTATATTTTCACAGTTCTTAAGTTCTCTGTACCCCCAGGCCAAAAGACGTGCACAATCTGTTAAGATGCAGTACCTCTGATATTTGCGATAAAAACCAGGAATCGTCCACCAGCCACAGTAGAAATATGATTCCACACAGTTTGTTGGTCTCCATAACTTGGCTCTGCCAAACCCAATGTGTGGTGTGAATGCCATTCTCCAATATTGCATAAACCTTGTGAGGACGTCAAATAAGCTGCAAAGAAAACAGCCTAGAATAAAATGTTGACCAATGAATCAAACCCTCGAACGGAGGCTTTAAGCCAGATAAATCCCTCGGAGGACTTCGGCCCCCTTCTCGGTGTTTAACGTATACATTGAAACAAAAACTAACCTCCAACTTCTTCTAAATAAGCCACGTCTTGATGAAACGATGTAGTAGTCCGGCTGCAGCCTTTTCCTGGACCTAAGATAAGCTGTACAACTGCCGTGCCTTCATCTTGCCACAAGCCAAACAGATCACCGCCCGTTTCAATCTTACGTTTCTGAAGAACGAGCCATTTTAGATAATTGAGCTCGGGTTCGTAAATATACACTGTAACACTTCCGTTATTCGGGGAAGAAAATTGATCAGGCATTTCTGACGTTATACACTGGAAGGATGTATGGACACCTTTATATTTAAAGGGTATTCCTTTCAGATACAAAGAGCTTCTGTTATGAAAAGGAAACCAACATACATTAATTGACACTCAGTCATAGGTTTTCTTGCAACAGAATTACGTATAAATATAGTCTATTAACATATATGTTAATAGAATGTATTTTTATAAATATTTTACACTGTTTTCCCTGAATATCGACAGCATTACTAGGAAATACATATTACTTGCTTACCCATGCTGGGCTAAACAAAGGCTTATTGGTTATGCATGATGCCTGTCGGTATGCTAATAATTTGGCTCAACAAGCCAAAGGTCCTGCGATTGGTTCATATAACAATGAAACACAATAAAACTATAAATCAATTTTCTAAAGCGTTATTCACAAACCCTGATCGCTTTTGTTCAAGGAAGCCAATGACAAAACATGCCATCATTTTAGCTTTGTACTTACAGGGGAAGGAATGAAAAATTATTTTAGTATAAACACTTGTTTTGTCCACTCTTCCCAGAATATAGCAGTATTACTAGGAAATACTTATTATTAATGCACCCTTGCTGAGCTGGACAATGCATGATGCGTTGTGGTATGTTCTGCACTTGCGGAATGTAAATAGTGTGGAATAGCTTATAACTTGCAGATGTGAAATGTTTATAAATTATTAGTACTGTACAAAATAAAATGGCAAACTATTGTTCGGTATAAATTATTTTTAACTGAATTTATTTCAGATCCCAATACATAGTTTTTAAAATATGTCTTGAATACATTAATTTTTCGTATAGATACATTATATCATTGACATTGTAACTTTTGTCCGTCCTGTCTGAGTTCGCTCATCTCAGTTATCTAACTTGTGAAAAATTGTTATATTGTTAACAGCAGCGACATATATTTCTGCAGAAAAAGTTCTTTACACTTGTAAACATTTCACCCAATCTTTTAACGATTTTCCCACATTTACTCAATTCCTCCTCCTCATAGTCATCTGCAAGTAGCTGTTGTTCTTGTTCGTGGCGAACTCTATCCCTTTGACGTAGCTTGTTCGATTTTTTGTTAGATCTGCGTTTTCTCGCCTTGCTTGTGTTGAATTGTTTATTTTTCTTATTCGGCTTGCTGTCATTTATGTTCGAGTTTTCGTTTCTTGAATTTGAGGATGTGTTTCTCGTGTTCGTTCTATCGTCTCCCACGTTCCGATTACCGTTTCGTGTGCTCGGAATATTTGAAGTACCGTTATCATCTTTCGACGTGGGGCCTTTCGCGTTGGGCGTTGAGGGATTTACGTTCTTCGTGTTCGCTTTACCATTTCGTTCGTTCATATCACTGTTTCGTGAGCCCAGACTACCGCTTCCAGTGCTCGATATATTTGAAATACCGTTGCCATCTTTCGGGCTATTGCTTACCACGTTGATCGTTGGGGGGTCTCTGTTTCTCGTGTTTTCGCTACCCTTTCGTGTGTTTGGATTACCTTTTCGTGCGTTCTGATTACCGTTTCGCGCGTTCGGATTATCATTTCGTGCCTTCGGATTGCCGTTTCGTGCTTCTAGATTATCGTTTCTCGTACTCCATCTATGTGAAATACCATGACCATCTCTTGGGGAAGAGCTATCCACGACAGGTTTATTATTTCTCTGCATCGAGGCTTGGTATTTAAAGAATGTTGTCCAGTCTTGAGCAGGTTCTGCCTTTGAGGTTATGCACGGGTTGTCCACTGTCAGACGGAATGGACTTGGGCACGACAGACATTCAATATTGCCTATTAGAATTTTTTGTTTACTCCAATCAAATAGAAAACAACCAATGTTGACTTTTGGTGGTGCACCTGGACGAATGTAGGAAAGATTTTAAGTTCAGTAAAGGCCATGTTACACGGTGCAATTTTTCTTGCAACTTGCAATGCAATTCTACTCTTGAGATATGTAAAATTAACCAAATACGAGTCTTCATTACACTCCAGCGATGTTTTCTCAACATATCGAAAACTCTTCACAGATTTCACTAATTAACATCTCTCAAGAGTAGAATTGCATTGCAAGTTGCAAGAAAAATTGCACCGTGTAATGTGGCCTTTAAGGAGATTTTAAATGTGCGGTCTCAGCTGTGAGGTTTCAGACTACTTATAACACTGGAATTTTTTTCTAAATCCTTACTATGGAAATGGTATGGGTCTTGGTTGAAAATAGTACGGAAATCCAATCTTCATACAGATACTAATTGCAATTTCCATATTACGGATATACTGTAGTAATGGAAATAATATGGATTTACTATGGATTTACTATGGATTTAGTGAAATGGTTTTGGAAGGTGTCTGGTTGCATATAAATACAAGTTACAACTGCTAACTCCTTGCAAAAAGACATGCACTATGGTGCAATACCTCGGATATTCGCGATGAAAACCAGGAATCGTCCACCAGCTACAGAAGGAATGTGATTCCACACTGTTTGTTGATCTCCATAACTTGGCTCTGCCAAACCTAATGTGTGGTGTGAATGCCATTCGCCAATATTGCATAAACCTTGTGAAGACGTCAAATAACCTGCAAAGAAAACAACGTAGGGTAAAATGTTGACCAAATTCTCTGACCTTGAAAAGCAAGGGTGGCAGGTACGATTTTATCATTGCATCTTGCCACTAAGTGAAGCTTGCTACTGTAGGTCGAGGCACAGAATAGGAAGTTATACCAGAAGCGTAACTCTAGTCGTTTCCCTTATTGTTTGACGTCCACGAAAATTTTAACTCGTTCACGTCAGGCCACGCCATCCTGGCTAGTACAGCCGGAAGTTTTTATCAGGATTTGGTAGGTACAAAGTGCCGGTTGTATTAGCCAGGATGGCGTGATTGATGACGAATCGCTTGTAAAAACGCGGACAAATATTTGCTCGAGTTACGCTTCTGGTATAACTTCCTATTCTGTGGTCGAGGGTAGGGTACTTAGGATTGGCGGCTTGATGTGCTTTTGAAGTTGAATGAAATCTCCTGTGCTTTGAGTACTGTTCTCCAGGTAGTCTTGATTTCCCTTCATTAAAAATAACAAGCCCGTCGACCTTAGCTGTGTTCTGTGCTCGGACATGGGTCGTATGGTGACAGCCAAAGATGCCCTAGTAAGGCTTTGACCCGGTCACACGTTTGAGCTGCGTTCTTCGCAATTCTGCATCAGCTGCAAGGAAGGTCGATTATCACGCCTTCTCTCTACTTCACCCTATAGCGAGTCACAGAGCGTCAGGCTAGCAATGCAGAAGTTATGTGTTAAGACCTTGTGTGGAACTCAGAAATGTGTGCTTAAGCTTTATTAACTTAACAGCTTGTGAAAGCAAATCATACGTAAAACACCTCAGCCAGTCTCTGGTAAAGTATACCAGACTGTCACGAACAGGTTTAACCCTGTTGTTGGGTGGGCAAGACTCACGAAACATTGTTCGGTTCGCAAGACTCAGGAATTTCCCCTGAGCTTTAACTACATGCTTAGCTTTGCACAAGCAAAATATCTAAGTGAGTCACTCAGTGTTACGTGTATAAAATCCCTTTGTATAGCCTGCGCCGTATATCCCAGGAGAAACCCGAAGTGTGTGTATATACACCGCAGGCTACCCTTTTCTGGCTTTGCAGGACTCACCACGCAAACCAGTCACCCAAACGAAAGCAACCACTAACCTCCAACTTCTCTTAGATAAGCCACGTCTTGATGAAACGACGTAGTAGTCCGGCTGCAGCCTTTTCCTGGACCTAAGATAAGCTGTACAACTGCCGTGCCTTCATCTTGCCACAAGCCAAACAGATCACCACCCGTTTCAATCCCAGGTTTCCGAAGAACGAGCCATTTTAGAAAATCAAACTCAGGTTTGTAAATATACACTGTAACACTTCCGCAATTCGGGGAAGAAAATTGATCATACATTTCTGACTAAATGTTATACAATGGAAGGATGTATGAAGTATGAATACATTTATATATTTAAAGTCCAGGGTAATCCTTTCAGATACAAAAAGCTTTTGTTATGAACTAATTCTAATGGCTACTTGGTGATGACACACTAGGTTTTCTTGCAATAAAATTACGTATTTTAATAGATTGTATTTTTATAATTTTTTGCTCTGTTTTCCCAGAATACATATCGCATTACTAGGAAATAGGTATTACTTATGCACCCATGCTGTGCTAGACAAAGCCTTATTGGTTATGCATTATGCCTTTCGATATGCTAATAATTAATTGTTGAACCAAGCCAAAGGTCCTGTGATTGGTTCATACAACAATGAAACACAATAAAACGATAAAATCAATTCCCTAAAGAGGGTCCTGAAGGGGGGGGGGGGGGGGACCGTTTTCGATGAGATCAACTTTAGATTCTCGCCATCGTTGGCTTGCTTTGCTCGATTTAGACATACAAAACGCGTTCCAATCTTGATGAGGTTCTGCTTCCGAATCAAATCGCCCCTCTTGCACAAACGTATGTCGAATTGGGCTACAACTCTTGAGTACTTTCATTTTCCCTTGCGTCATTTTACGCGTAGCGCTATTGAACATGAAACAACCGACATTTACGCTGTCCATACCTCGAATATTTGCTATAAAAACTAAGAACCGTCCACCGCTAACTGTTCCCATATGACCCCATACCGTATTCTGATCTCCACTACTTGGATGAGCTAAACCAATTGTGTGATGCGAGTGCCATTCGCCAATATTACAAATACCTTCATTTGATGTCATGTATCGTCCAACGTTCGCTAAGTAGCTAACATCTTGAAAGAACGAGGTTGCCGTTCGTTGGCATTGCCTTCCTGGACCGAGCACAAATTGTACAACAGCACAGAGCTCGTTCTGCCAGACACCAAACAGATCACCTCCTGTTTCGATATCCTGTTTTTGCAGCACAAGCCATTTTAAGTACTCGTATTCGTTGGCGTATATGTACACCGTGAATGCATCATTTGCCATCTACGTCGCCTTATGTGCTTTCGCTTGGTGAATACGCGCTTAGAAATCGAATTGTGTTACAGGGTTGATGGCAAGGAACCTTTGTAAATAGTTTATGAGCAAAGTCAAAGTTCTTCACTCTTTAGATACACAATGCTTCGAAATCACTGACCGTACTGTAATACACAGTTTATATTTCACTTTGCAGGCTATTTCCGCTTATAAGCATTCATTTTGTTTCTGAGAACAAGGTTTACCGTGAAAGATCGTACCAAGAAAACAAAATATAAAAAATATTAGTCAAGATCGCTTCCGGTCTTCCAGGAAAATTTTTTGATTTGTTTATTTGCATGATTCCGAACCACTGACCTACTGTATATATGCCACGGATATGTGCCAAAAATAGGAGCAGAGCCTGTGGATGGGGCAGATTCCCAGCCGCATGAAAGATACGCGCTTACAAATCGTATTGTGTTACATATTTAGTAAAACCAAAGCTCTTTACTCTTTTGATACAGTGCTCCGAGGTTGTATGCAGTGTATTACATATTTGCTTTCACTTTGTTCCCTTTCTTCGCTTCAATATTTAATTAATTCTGTTTAATATTAAAATGAGTAGTACGTAAAACAAACTATTAGTCTATAGGAGTCGCTTCCGGCCTTCCTGGAACCCAAATCCTAACCACAAATTTTGAACCTAATCCCAATCTGTGTCCGAATCTTAACTTTTGGTTAAACTGTCCAGCGAAGTTATTGCGACATCGTTTCGGGACAATTAGGGAGTTTACGCATGTAAGACGGCCAGAAAGACGGCTATCAATACAATGACATTAATCCTGAAAGCCTGACAAAAACAACATCTGAACTCGAGAAATCAGCCATTGCTAAACACGCTTGGGAAAAAGACCATCGCATTAAATGGAATGATTCAACACTTCTTGCCCCTGTCAAAAATTACTGACGCTCAGAAAATGAGGGAATCATGATCAATACAAAATTCCGCAAGATGGCAAGCCACTTAATGACACTTAGACTTCCCTTTTCTAATTTTAACAATTATAGTTTATTTCTAATTTTCTATCACTAGGTTGTTTCCAATTTAGAATTGTAGAATTATTGTATTTAATTCGGTACGCATTGCACACACGACATTAACGGTATCTATGTATATACTGACGTAATCTAATTTTCAATTGTTCATTCCTCTGAAGACGGCCCGAGAACACGCTCCGAAAGCTCAGAATTAAATTAAAAACATGGTGTAACCACAAACTGTTTCTTTTTTTTACATTAATTGTATATATAAAATAAATAATTAAAAGTCTAGCCGGGGTTTTAGACGTCGTCAAGAGCAAAATGCATATTTTCATGTCTCGTATAGTACTCTAGCATTTCAAGCCTTGATAGGTATAGGTTTTCTAGCAGAGTTGATAAACATTGCTCTGAAGGTTAAAGCTCCCTCGAGGTATTTCGTTTGATGGAGCAATGCCATGGGCGTCCAAAACGCCACTGGGGAGAATGGCAACCGAAAATAAACCTGCATTAGAGTTGATCAGAACCCCAGAAGAAATGGCCGAATTACAAGATGAAGAAATTGATGTGAAAGAAGGTTATCATTTAGGTAATTGTAAGGTTATGTATGCATGCATGATGCTGCAAATGGGCCTTAGGTTTCCGTCCAATTTCAGTTACACTTATATGTTCTTTATATCATTATTACGAGTGTTCACCAAAAATCAATAGGATTAATTCCTCCTGAGTTACAGCGTCTTAAAAATAACATTGCTGACGTCAGCATTATTTTCAAACGCCTTCAGAAACTGTGTTATACACAAAATTTAGTTAAAAATTCTTTGTTAAGGTTAAGACGGGACTTCTGACCTGATATAAACAAGAATCTAAACATTTTGGCCCAAACTTGCCTTTATTTTAGCTTTTGATTTTGATTTTGGGATAAGCGCTTGATAAGATAAGATTTAATTATGCCTCTCTGGGCAACTCATGCATCTAAGAAAATTACAGAAATATAAATCTTACAGTAATATATATTACAATTATTAAAAATTAGAAACAGAAATATGTCTTCGCATAGCAACCTCTGGATGCAATTTAAGATAAGTAACATGGTCATTCTTATCCGGAATTCTGTTAAAGATTTCTTGCGATAAATACCAATATCCGTGACGAGAATCCGGGTTATAACTTTTTAGATCATCAAGTCCTGCCTTAAAGGCTTTACACTAGGTGCACTGCATACTTAACAGAGTTTGGTAAATTGTTCCAATACTTAATTACTCTTACGCTAAAACAATCTAACGCAAATCTGGTCCTACAGGATGATACATTGCATAAATTACGAGTACTATAATGCAAATTATGGTTAAACATTTGATGGCCATAGTTTACATGTCCGTTAATAATCTTGTATGCTTCAATAAGATCACCCCGCATTCTACGTTCGAGAAGTGTTGTCAGTCCCAGCTTTTGAAGTCTCACACTATAGCTGAGAAAACCCATACCATGAATTATTCTAGTAAAATCCCTTTGACATTTTTCAATTGCCATAATTATACCCCAATTACCATGCTTTGCTACCGGGGACCAAACTTGCACACAATACTCCAGATGGGGCCTCACAAAGGCCTTGTAAAGAGGAACCAACACTTCATGTTTACGAGATACAACATTTCTTATTAACCAGGCTGAATCATCCTCTTGGCCTTTCCGATTCCTTCTCGAATATGATCATCAAATAAGGACTTCCCGGCAGACCAGGTTACCCCCAAATCCTTTTCTTTCTGTACACTTTTTAAGTTGAATACCATCCAATGTATAGCCATGTTGCGGATTGCTCTCTCCGATGTGAAGTACACCACACTTTTCCACATTAAATTTCATCCGCCATATTCTGACCACCTACTGAGACAGTCAATGTCTGTTTGAATATCTTCCGGATAATATGCATTACCAATAACTTTGGAATCATCAGCGAAAAGCACAGTGTTAAATTTAGTAACTTGTGGTATAAAATTGGTGGTATAAAATTGGCCATTTTATACCACCAAGCATTTATCCAAAAATCAAATGCTAAAATAAAGGCGAGGTTGGCCAAAATGTTTAGATTATTGTTTATATCAGGTCAGGAGTCCCGTCTTAATTAACCTTAACCAATATTTTTTAACTTAATTTTGTGTATAACACAGTTTCTGAAAGCGTTCGAAATAATGCTGACGCAGCACTTTTATTTTTCAGGACGCTGTAACTCAGGAGGAATTAATTGATTCAAAATTTTTGGTGAACACTCATAATAATGATATAAACAACATACAAAACTTTCAGTATTGTAACTGAAATTCCTGGAAATTGGACGGAAACCCGCATTAGGGCCCATTGGGAAGAATGTGTGTCAGTTGCAGTTAGCACTCTCCGTTAAGCCTGTTACTGTAGGCTGATATTATTACTTGATGGGTGACCTTACTCTGACTTGATGTATTTGAAAACTCGTAATTATTTAAAATTTTGTTTTTTCCTTCTGTTTCGAGGGTATCTCACTAAGCACTATGGGTTCCTCCCCCACTGACTGAACTTCCTCCGTGTCCTCCTTGTTAGACATGGGTCATGTCATGGCAACCAATAGTACCTTACAGAAAGCCTCCGAATTGATCACTTTTGCGCTGAGTCCGTTGTATTACAGTCAGTAGCCAGACAGTATAATTAGCTCCCCTAGCATTATTACCATATTATATGTAATTACTAAAACTACTTTGCCCGAAATCTACTGTCAATTTGTAAAGTTAAGTTAATAGACTATTATTATGTCTTACTGTGTTTACTGTTTTTGTTGTTATCATTTAGCTGATATTATGTCCAGAGCTGTATTACTCTATGGAAACCAACCTTTATTGGACGAATACAATGTGTGTGTGGCTAAAATATTAAACACAAATTCATCTGTGAAAGAAGGGAAATCTACTGGAACAGTGGGCCTCACCCGAGGAATTCGAATGATGATGCGCGACGTTGAAACCTATGAGCCGTTTAATTCCTATCTTGGAGAACACTGTGTTGTTGGTGGTCTTTTTGATGTCAAGAAACAGTTCTACCGTCTCATCTCGCTACTTCTTTCAAATTTGGGACTAGTATTCGACATCATATCTTCCTCGCCCTGGCAAGTAATTTCGGAGTTGCAGACTCGGGGAATCATTGATGAGTCCGAAAGTGTCAACATCAAAGTGTGTTTATCAATTGCTAACGAAATACGGCTGAAAACGTACTTTGCTAATAACGGACAGAAAGAGCTATTTTCCCCGGTTCCTCAAAATGCGAACATTATGGAACAATCCGCTGATGCCCCTATTTTCCGTGATTTCGATGAAGATATCTTAGTCCGCCTTGTGAGTACTAGTTATGATATATGTAACCGTTGTCTTGAGTTTTGTTTCGAGTACATTAAACAAGACAATATCGACGTCAGTTTATTTCGAAATCCATCCCTTGGAGTCTCGAAGGCATGGCTACTAGGGGTTCTATATCATCGACTGCAAAATCCGGGTAAAGCCTTAGAGTACATGAAATCTGTACCCGAAGATAGTCCGGACTACCAGGCCGCTCTTATTACTCAGGGCCTTATTTATTGTATGTATGAAGAATATGAAAAAAGCGTTGAATATTTTGAAAAAGCGCGGCAACTGCATGACCCAAATAAATGCATGTCAAATCTAAGATTGATTAAATGCATTAATGGTCTAGCGGCTGCACATGGGCAGATGGGTAACTATAAAATGGCCATAAATTTATTTAAAGAAGCGATTCGTAAACACAGTGAGATCTATGGAGAAGGATATGAGATACTCATTCTCACTTGCTTGCTAAATCTTGGCTGCGTTTATCATGAGGTTGGCAATCATGATTTAGCTCTTAAAACTTTTAAAGACGTGGAAGAGATGATTATGAAAGAAGGATTAACGAACGTTCTTGATCAGGACATGATTTATTTAAACCTTTACATGGCCGCGTCGCTAAGTGAACTCGATCAACATGTACAGTCTCGGAAATATTTGGAGCGAGCGTTACATCTTAGTCACAAGGTGTTTGGTGAACATTCTTCCAGTATCCAGTTGGCTCAAACGTATCGCGCTGCAGGCAATATCTATTGTCTTTGTAAACAGGATAACGAAGCCGAAGCTGTTTTAAAACGAAGTTTGGATATATTTCTTCTTGTATTTGGTGGCCGGGCCCACCCAGGTAAGATCATAACTTAAAGCTGAAAGGAGCGAAATACCCTGAACATTGAGTATAACCCCTGTTTCTGTATAACTAAGACGAAGAAAGGTAGTGTGTGGCTACGATTCCTGTAGTATATGCACTTGTCTGATTATAATTTCGCCTTATCATTGGTTTTCTCTGCGTTTTAACAAGAATAACATACCTTCCTATAAGATTCAGCAATCAAAGATGGAGAAGAATAGCCAATCAACAATTTCAACAAATAGGATTATTCTTTCTGTATAAGCAGGTGTGAAATTTGAAGTTCAATTTTGAATCGTTCGTGTTGCGCGCTCCTAATCTTGAAAGCTGGGATAGCAATGTTTTTGTTTAATTTTTACTGATCAGGTAACTTGTAGTTAGGTTTCTCATATTAAGGTTTCTCTTATATATATATATATACTATCTGTGGCCTCCGCGATGTGAGTCAATTTGTTTTTTACTTCCAGGTAAAATACATGTACTCGTGGAGTTGGGAAAGTTTTTCTATAAAAAACATGAAACGAGTATTAAAGCTGTGGAGATTTTAGAAAGCGCTTTAGAACAGGCAAGAACTCTCTATCCGCCTGAAAAACCTAAAATCATTATCGCTGTTGTACTAGTGCATCTAGGAATAGCTTTGTTTTACGCTAAAAAGCTATGGGAATCACTTCCATATTTTCAAAAAGCGAAAAAAACCATGGACCGGATCCTAGGACCAGATCACTTACATTCCCACACGTCAACCATACTTTATAACATGGGAAGAAATTACCACGAGCTTCGTGATGTTCCGAAAGCTCATCAGTGTTATGAAGATGCTCTCAACATAATCTCCGAAATATATGGAGAAAATAGCATTTTGGCAGCAACATGTAGCATGGCAGCTGCCTGTTTACATCGCGCCTATGCTGAGTACGAATTGGGCAACAGTGACCTAGCTAAGGATTACTGTACCAAAGCTGTTAACATCTACAAAAAAATTTCCTTAACCAAAAATAGCTGCCGTAGTGATGTTGTAGTTTGTCTTTATCGCCTGAGCTCATTCTGTGAAGCCCTCGGAAAGCTAGAAGCGTTAAAGCATTTAGAAGAGGCGGGAAAGATTGCGAAGGATGCGGGTTTTAAGGAATGTGTGGTAGACATATTAGTCTCGTTAATCAGGAAATATGCTGAGATGGGGTGCATTATCAAAAGCATGATGTGTTACGTAGAAGCTGGAGAGATAGCAAAGAGCTTACCTGCACATGAGCCTCTTTCACCTTCGACATTGGAAATGCTCAAATTGATGAAAATTTAGCTAACAAAAACTGACATCTTGAGAGGAAGAGTTTACATATCCACTACCGACACAAATTGTATACAACAACACCGCGCGATGCCAAGAATCTCGTTTATGAGTATATTGGCAAAACTGATTTTAAGATTATGCTAAGAATAACTAAGGTTGAGATGTTTTAAAGAACATTCTGCATGCATGGGACTAATTATATAAATAAAGATCAAGTATGTCAGTACTGTAATTAATTTAATGAAAAAACAGATGGTGGTAGGATGTGTATAATCTAAGAAGGTAAAATTATTTCCAGTGTGAGCATGAAATTGTGTGTTCTTATAAAACAAAAAGACTCAAAGACTGTAGGCTACTATAGCGTTTGTAATACTTTATATTTGCCTTCGAGAACGCTTTTTACTCTTCAGATACAATACAATTTTGCTTTTCACTTTGTTTTCTATTTCCCTGATTTTGTTTTTGAGACCGAGAAAGCTTTCCAATGACAGATCGTACCAAGATCATACTGTAATTTGTAATTTGCAAGGCCGTCTTGTGTTAATACGAAAGCAGAAAAAAAAATATTTCGATTTGATAATTATCTACAGTGATTCTTTGCTAAGTTTAGTCGTTTAATATTTATAGTAGACAAGTTTAAACGTCTAATATGATTATGACGTCTCTTATAAGCACAGGGAGCCCATCCCATATCTTATTGAAAGCAAATATTGAATGTACATATAGTATTTATATAGCTCAGTGCTGAATCTAAGGGCGCGCGGCCTGCCTGTTGCGCAGGCCGCGCGCCCTTAGATTCAGCACTGAGCTATATAAATACTATATGTACATTCAATATTTGCTTTCAATAAGATATGGGATGGGCTCCCTGTGTTATAAGTGCATCGTTTGGACGCACTTGACAATCAAAGTTAATTTTTTATTCGTCCAATTTCCCGTATTTATATTAGACAACTAAGTCGTCTCGAACATTGAAGAGTCTTCTAATAATGTCTAGCATTTGCAATATTTCATTTGCCATTGGCAAGGCTCTTTACTGTTTACTCTATTTTTCACTTTAATCTTTATTGTCTATTTCCGCTTTGATTTTGTTTCTGAGAACAAGCTAAGCTGTACAGCGAAAGATCGTACCAAGAAAACAAAATATTAATTGTAGTCGCTTCCGGTCTTCCAGGAAAAAATTGATTTGTTTATTTGGACGATTCCCGGTATGCAATCTGAATGGTTAATTTCAATATCAACCACCATAAATAAGGGATGTTTATGACGGGCCGACATGAAGGACTAGCTATGCATACCGGTAGGACTGTTTTCATCTCATTTACATGTTATCTCGTGATCTTTGATTAACATTGGTCAAAATGAAAGTTGAACTATCCCAATTTATTTATATTGCATAGTTCTATCAGTTTTAAAATCCAGTAAGGGCTATCACTTATAGGTCCGTTATTACAACAGAAAAATCTACGAGAAGCGATTAAGAAGAAAAACATTTTACAGTATAGCTCTGTCAATAGACCTTTCCCCTTATAACCAAAATTTTGATCTAGGCACGTCTAGACAAATATTTCATTACAGTATGAAAAAACGTCACAAAATTAGTAATATTCCAAAGTTTCGTTGCGAAATGTTGTAAAATGAGGAAAATAGAGCCTTGCGAAGTTTGCAATTTTCAGTAATTTTGCATTACAAACGGGAAATTGCAGCCCCAACACCCGAATCGGATGTCAATTTCCCGTTTGTAATACAAAATGACTGAAAAACGGCAAACTTCGCAAGGCTATATTATCCGCATTTTACAAGATTTTGTAAAAAAAACTTTGGAATATTACTAATTTTGTGATGCTCTTTCAAGCTGTGATGAAATTTTTGTCTAGATTGAAATTTTAGTTATAAGGGGAAAGGTCCATTCTAAACTGTTCTCGCTAAACATCAGGTTAGGTTGATACATATTTGTCCAGTTACAGACGAAAACTGAAAAAAACCCTGCAGTGCTTGTTTGGATGAACAAAACAGAAAACAATCCTTGATCAGACAACCCTATCACTATACCGTAAACCTCCAACTATAAACATCCCCCCGAATATAAGCCCTGGGCTTATATACTTTCGTAAGCGATTTTTGATGGGCTTATACAAGGGGGGGGGCTTATATACGGG